ATTTACTGTCAAATATGACACTGACAAGCGGGAAGTTTCGCACCTGTTCTGGAGATTTCTAGAACTATCTGGAATACCTGGAGAAAACTATATAACCGACGAGGAGAACCAGACAAGGGAGAGTAAAGTGACAGCAGCGTCTGAGTGCAGAAGAAGTTAAACCCGCGAGTCGGAAATCCGTGTTTTCCGTGTGTTATTGTTATCGTTTGTGAAGTTGACATTAATTTAGAAGTTAGTTTGTTCCTGTTCCGTAGTTAAAGTTGTACCGAGTGGAATAAAAGTTGTAAGCTGAAGAAAGAGTTCAATACTCGGCCATCCACGGTACAATATTATATATTATGAGTACACAATAAAATATGACATAACCAATATAACTGGCCGCGTTGCTGCGATAGAGCAACCTAAGCCAAAAAAGCGGAGGTGCCATAGTGATTCTCTGATTAGCTAACAGACGATTAGTTTGCAACGGTGCAATGCATTTTTTTTAAACACCGGTTAAGATATAATCAGTGTTTAAAGCGAGAACGGTGCAACCGGGGTTTAGTATTCTCATTTCGTGGGTTCGTGCCATCCTTTTTGTCTCCGCTGTGTCACCTCGTGTTTCTGCCGCGTATGTCATTACGGGCCCGATATATGCTTTATATATTCTAACTTTGGAGGGGATCGAAATGTATGTGTTTTTCGGTATGGATGTTCGTAAAGCTCCAGCTACCTTTGCTGCCTTGTTCACCTAATTCACTACGCCATTCTTGAGTTCACCATATGGTGGTATTGTTATTCCCAGATAGTTAAATTCAGAAACCTGCAAAAACTAAGTTGTTGTTTTGTTGTTCAGTTCCAGTTTGCATCTGCGTGGTTCACTAGCAATCACCATGCTTTTTCTTGTGGGCATTGATAGTTCCATGTTACCTCTTTCGGCCTCTTTTTTAAATGCCTGTAAGAGCCATTCCCATCTTGTATCCCTGGTCCACCTTGCGCATTTGCTCTATTATTACGTCCATTATGATGTTGAACAATAGCGAACTGAGACTGTCTCCCTGTCGTATCCCTGTGTTTTGCTCTATTTTATCTGCTGTTAATTTTGTTCGCATTGTTGTGATGTTGTTTGTGTTGAGCTTTCTAACCGTCTCCGTGATGCTTGGGGCCCAGCTCGTTCCTAACGCCCTCCATCCTTATCATATCGAACGCTTTTATCAAATCTTTAAAACACAGGTATAATGATCCGCCTCGATGGACCAAAATGTAATGATTCGGATCGAGGACTAAAACGTAATTGTCTCGCTAGACCAAAGAGACGTTTTTAAATAATATTATCCAATTCGAGGTTGGGAAAGCAAAATCTTGCTATTTGATATCTGTCTAAGGAAAACATCATTCGAAGCGTTTTCATTTTAGTTGAAGGTTTGCCATTTTGGAGTATGGATCATTTAACTGTCGAAGAACGCGTAGAAATTATTAAACGTTACTATAAAAATGGCGATTCTGTTGTATCAACGTTTAGGCTCTACGAGCAGATTACGGTCGATATAATCGACCCACAAAGCAAACAATTTCGAACAAAGTGGAAAAATTTGAAGAGACTGGATCGG